GTTCTTTTTTTAAAGCATCAAGAGCTTCTTTTCGAGTATCTAAAAATGCTAAAAGTGCTTTAGTGGCACTTGTTTCCCACTTTATTGCTGGTGAACGAACAGATTGCGAAGAGTTGGAACCATTGGCAGCCATTATTAATGATTTAATATATTTGTCGCGTATTAAAGTTAAATTTGTCACGTATTAAAAGTTAAATTTAACTCGATTTAAAAATTTAAGTTAAATTTAACGTGATTAAAAGTTAAATTTAACGTGATTAAAAGTTAAATTTAATGTGAATAAATGCGTTTTATTTAATTTGTTCTGGCCAATCTAACTTGCAAGCTAGATTCGATTTTTATATTGCACAATCAATCCAAACCAAAATTTTAGATTCATCAATCCAAACTAAAATTCGTGTGAAGATCGATCAATCCAAACCAATCCAAACCAATCCAAACCGTATGTGAAGACACCCATTTTCTTTGTGAAAAGTTTTTTCGCTGTGCATCTTAAGAATTTTAAACGTTGTGATCTACCATATCAGGATAAAAGAACCGACGTCCAACCTAAACTTTTCTCACTATAAACCATGTTATCTGACGTCAAAGAGCCTGAATCTTCATTCAAATATTTTCTGAACACTCCCTGCCAAGACTGGGACGCAGTTAAATATCTTGAAGCATTAGAAGATTGCAATTCGAATAAGGCGACTGTAACAAGAAATTTCAACAAGCACTTGCAGAATATAAAGGAACAAGGTACAGAAAAGGAAAAGAAGAATGCAGTACGTCTCGAAGGTCAATTCAAGGTCAATATATTTTCATGAATTATATAACTGCAGATTAGTTTGTCACATTCAGTAGCCACCCACTTTGTACTTCGTCTCCATTATTCGTATTCCAATACTACAGCTACCCATGGAACTACGTCTTCGCATGGTTATGGACTACGTCTCCGCTGTTGGCTACGGCTACCCATGGAACTACGTCTTCGCATGGTTATGGACTACGTCTCCGCCGTAGCCAGCTTGTGACTTGCTAATCTGCGACTTGCTAATTTGCAGTTTTTGGATAACCTTTTATTATATAAAATTTATTTTTGTAAGACTGAATCTAGAAAAACGGGACGAATCTACAATTTTTGGTCGAAGTATAACAATTTTACGAAACATGAAAAGATGAAGGTCAACAGTACATTTTTATCTTGCGATGGAGTACAGATCGGTTGCATTGGTAATAATGTTCAAGCAAGATGCAAACGAGATTATAAAATCCATGAACAACCGAGCGTTGAAGAAGAAACATCAGCAATACCAACGAAAATGGTGAGACCGAGTAACTCTTCAAAGCATATTAATGGCTTTAAACAACAAGTAACTTATTGCCGTGTTCTGTAATTTAGAGGAAATTAGATGAAAAATTTAACGCAACGAAGTCTTCCTCTGACTCTACAAACGTACAACAAACATCCACCATTTCTGAACCTGATGGTGTAAGCACTGAAGAGCTCGAGGACGACGAGGAAATTAAATTTGATCTAACAAACATTTCGATGGAATTGAAGCGTGAACCAACGGTTAAAGTATGTTACATGGAAATACTGGTTCCTTTATTTCGTGTATCTCACAATTTGCTTCTGTTTTTTAGTGGGAGGTTGGTTGTATTAATGTAACCGATAGATTTCGGCGGTATCAGAAAGACGTTCTCAATAAGGCGGAGAGAGAGGGTTTAAAATATGAGAATGTTTACGAACTCTTGTAAGTATTCTGAAACATGTAGCATTTGACTAGCACAACGATATTGATATAATTGCATTTAGAGCTTTATCGTCAATCATGGTGCTCTGCTGGCCATGTCCGTACCCCATGTTCACGAAACAAGAATGGAAAGAAATAACCAAAACTAATCCTTATACTATAAAAGAACCGCCACTCCCACCTGAGATTTCATCTTCTCTTCGTGATATAGCTAGTAAACATTTGATTGGCGGAGATGTCTTCATGGATTGTGGAAAAGCGGAGTTTAATAGGATGGTTGCACTCATGTTTAACAACCTGTAAGTTTATTCGTTCTTATGTCGTTTATCATCCATTAATTTGTGGCTTACACAAGTTCTCTTAACCATTACAGATATTATGGTATTCCAGAGGTTGCACCATCGAAGTTATCCGAGGAAGAACACTGTGCCATGTTCATTTATCCAATTTCTCGTTCGTTTCATGGATCTGAAAAAGAATATACACTTAGATTAAATCGTGCCAACGCAGGCTCAAAGACAAGACCAGACCTTTCTTGTACAGTGGATGATATACCAATCTTAAATTCAGAGTTTAAGCCGGTGGGTTGTACCCCATTACAACGAAAGAAGGATAGATTGAAAGTTCATTTAAAAGGCCGAAAATCAATCAATCAACAATTGCAAAGTAAAGGAGGTCCGGGTGAAGCTGTCTTGTTTCTAAACATGGGTATGTATTGCTTGCAATAAATTACAAGGGAGTTTATTATTTTTTATAACTTACTGAATTATGCTTCTACAATAATCAGGTGATTCGATGGAATCATTCTTCATGGATCTGAAGTACGATGGGTTGTACCGCTCCTGGCCATTTCTCACCACAAAACTGGTGATCGACAAGGCTACGATCCCATTAGCAGAGTTTGCAATCAGTCATTTTGTGGCTTTGGAGGTATGACACGTTTTCTTTGAGCTAATAAGACATTTTTCTCACAAATTTCACATACTCAGGAACATGTTGGAGAGATCGCGAAGAACTTCAAATATCGAAGCAGTCAATTCACACCACCGGCACAGATGTCCTTTGTGCGCAAACTTCCAGATTCTCCACAAGTAAAGATGTTACTTCATTAGAGTCGGTCAATTTACAATAGTAATGTCTGTCTGATTTTATCATCAATAAAACAATACAATCACGTAATAAAGCGATCTTTTATATCGTGAATTCAAGATTTTTAATCGACCACACTTAATCCTTTTATTCAAAATACCACTAAGACGCTTACGATATGAGTGATATCCATGACTATTTTTTTATAATTGTTTATGAATTAAGACTTATAATTTTTTTTAACGGGATTACTAGCATTGAACTCAAGACGCCTCTCGTGGCGAGCTTGTCATGAAATCAGCTTTAAGGGATTAAAAAAGATATTTATAATTCAATTGAACTGAAAAACATCGCAATTTTTATTGCACTACATACTCCCAATAATATCCACCAGCACGAGCTTTATGTCCTTTGCAAACTTTTCCAATATATGATCCATCAATTCCAGTTATGCGTTGTGCTTCAGATATGGATTGAAATTCTTGAGTAGAGCCATCACCGAAAATCTGTTTGACGGCACGTCGACGACAGTTGCCCCAAAGGCCGAAGTGAACAGCGTGTTGAGAGTTTTCTTTCGGGGTACACCATTCAAGATTCGAAGCTTTATTATTAGTGGGACGTCCGTCCAAATGGTTTACATAATCTTTTCCTTGCTCTTTTAGACAAAATGCTAATGCTACCAACCGATGAATATAATATTTCTCAACTCGGAGGTACCCTGAGTGCAATGATCCTCGAGAGATTAAACCATTGCGTAACTGAATTCTTCCAAGAGATGAAACTTTAAATTTTCGTAAATCAACCTCTATTTCTCTCCATTCTTCATTAGGGTCTTGTCCTATATAATCCTCATAATACATCCAACGCCAACCACCAGCGATATTTCGCTTTCTACTACAACATGCCGAAATATGGTTTCTCGAAATCTTAAGTGCATAACCTGCAAGAGTTATTGAATCCCAAATTTGAACAACGTTTCCATCCAAAGTTTTCTGAACAATTTTTCTGGATCTGCCACGACCACGGTTTGGGAATACCTTACGTTCAGCATTCTCTTTAGGAGTTACCCATTCCAAATTATCTGCTCGATTGTCATCTCTATAACCATTTTTGTGGTTAATATAAGGCTTATTTTCTGGATTGGAAATAAATGCTTCTGCAACAAGTCTATGGATATAAGGTTTTGTACTAAGTCCATTGATATTAATATTTGCTCGTATATAACCATGCCCTTTCAAAATACTTCCTTCTGAAATCCTGCCATTTCTATTTTTGACACGTCCAATATTAGAAATAAAGTAATTCGAGCCTGCTATAGGTAACCAAATCTCCATTTCGATATATGTTATTTATTTTTAAATTCAGATTAAGGCCTCATAGAATTATCACTGGTACGGACAACCACCTGAGCAAGCAAGACTATTCCAATGATCGCAATAAATTACAATACGATAAGCGATTTTCACTGGGATGAGCACGACGATCCAAATTCCTTATGTTGCTTAGTCGCTCTTGGTGATTTTGAGGGGGGTGAACTTTGCTTTCCGCAACTCCAAATTATCGTTCCACTTCGTCCAGGACAAGTCGTGGCATTTTCTTCCCGTCTTCTACTTCATGGAAATTTTCCCGTAACCCGAGGGATCAGGCACAGTATCGTCTATTTCATTCATAGTACCTTCTTCCATCATCTGCGCGATTTTTCGTCGATATACGAAGATCTAGAGGCCGGAATTGAAAGAGATGCACGTGGGGCGCTTGTTTCTTCGATTCCTCGGCAAGATCTCAACGACGCACGAGATCTGAATAACCGAATCACACTCTCCTAACCGAAAAAAAGTCAAACTGAGATACCAGAAAGAGCTTGTGATAAAAGGCGAGGAACTATCGGTAAGTAATTGACCTTGTACATATTTATATAAAATTAACAGACAATATTCCCTTTAGATTTGTCGCGCGCCCGACGTGGATTGAAAGCCGAGGATCCATTACCGGATGGGGGTATAATTTAATGCTTATATAGCGAAAAATTTAAGTATTTTAATGTAGGGCGAAGCCCATTGCTTTGCAATAAATATATCACCGATTATCATGGGTTAAATAAAAATTTTCGGTCATTTCTTCTATGCTGATCTCTGATTCGCGAATTTAGGCTCAAAGAGCCATTCCTTTGAAATAAAATACATGACATCGCTCCATTGAGGCTCATTATAACGTCATGTGATTTCGAAGTTACGATGTGGTTATAATTATTTTCAGATTGAATTTGCTATATTTACTTAATTTATATATTTATGCGTTATTTTCCGCATTAATTATATTATCATATTATAACAACCATGACGAGTAATACTAATAATAAAACTGATCCAAGTGAAAAATTTCCTCAATTATACAAGGTGTTTTTATATAAGAAAAAGGATATAACAGCTATTCAGAAAAAACTTGGTATTAATAGTAATACGTTAAAGCAAATAGAACATGAGCCCAATAGAAAAACACTTGCTGATTTATATAAGTTGTTATTACATTTGGTGGAAGATTTAATACCGATACAGAAAAATCTTGACATTGATAGCAACCCATTCTGGCAGTGGAATATAATAATGTGATAAATCAAAACAATAGAGATTCTTCTGATTTATCACTTTCGAAATTATTTAATTTGCTTTTATACTTGGAAGAGAATATAAATACAATTCAGGAAGAACTTGATATTGTTGGTTATACTAATGAAGAAATAGCAAAAGAAGCCGATAAAAATGCAAGAGTGTACCTCCAAAGATTTGAGAAATTTCATGGCCCCTTAAAAGATGATCTAGGTGTGTTAATAAAGAAATTCGCTGATATAGAGGTAAAAAAAATTTTGGTTTACTGATGAGGGACTACCATTATTTCCAAATATCTCTTCTCAATAATTGCATGAAATTTTCATCAAAAAATTGGCTAGTGCCAATCAGTGCCCATGTCTAGAATCAAAAGTAAAACAAGAAAAATTATCATGAATATATATACATCACAGCAAATAAAAATTCTTTGTTTAAAATTAGCTGGAGGCTGTCAAATACTCTAATTACCTGCTCTATTCTTCGATATTAAGTAAAATTATTTGTAAATCATGAATGATTAGAATTAATCTTACTAATCTCTCTGATACAATTACTGAGCGCAGAAATAAGATCTGTTTCATCTAATAATATACTGGTAAATATTGGAATAGGTGGATCAGAATCAGACCATTTTTTATCTGAATAATTAGGATATTTGATTTTAATTTTAGAATTAAGTTTTTTCATCACTTCTTCGCTAATTCCTTTATACCTCTCTAAACTAAGATATTTCAAATTAGTATAGTTATGAGATATTTTCTCGACAACTTTATTATTAATCAAATAATAGCCAAGCTCAAGATGTCTAAGTTTTGGACACAAGCAAGTAATTTCAGTAATATATTGATTAGTGAGATATATGCATGAATTAAGACTCAGATGTTATAGTTTTGAAGAAAATCTTGCAATTTCTATAATTGATATATTAGTAAAACTCTTACTTTTATCAAGAATGAGAAAGCATATATCCAGATACAAATACAGAATTGTATTTATTAAAGCATCTGAGATTTTTAAATCTTCTAATCTGAGATATACTATTTTTGAATAATAAAGTGACTTTATTTTTCTACGCATAACTCTTTCAAAGTTTATCAATTACCAAGTAAGAATCTGAGATATATTTAAGATATACTGACTTTACTAATAATCTTCATTAATAAACTCAACATGATATCATAGAATAAAAATATCATAATAATACCAAAAGTGATTGACAAATAAAGTGAGATAGAGAGATTGATCGATTTCTAAAAAATATAAGATCTATTCTAGTAATTCTGATAAATCAAAAATATTTAGATCCTTTAGAGAATTGAAGATTCAATATTTTGCATCATTATTACTCCATAATAGTTATATCATTCTCAAGTAATGTATATTATATATCTTTAATCAAAAAAAATAATTAATGTTCAGATAATTAATTTAGGTATACTTTTAAATTCATATTAATAAAATAATTTAACATTTATCCAGATATTTCTCAGTAATATATTCCATGCAAAGCTAGAAAAAAACCAATTTTTAATGATACAACATCTGAGTCCTCATCTGGGTCTGAATCATCTAGCCACAAAGTGACTACCTCTGGTAATGATAATGAAGATTTTACTGTGGATATGATAAAAATAAAGAAGTGTAATTAGTTATCATTATCATAAAGATAGAATGATCTTGCTTGCTCTGAATCTTGACCCCTCCTGCGATAATTTATTATGATATAGTTTTGTACTGGAGAAGTATGATTATTACAAGAATATTGAAGTGCTTCCCCAGTAATTGTATAAATGTAGGCCATATTTTTCACTCCATTTGTCATTATAGCATAAACTGCTCTTAATTTACGTAAATATTTAGAAATTAAATCATAATCTTTTAAGAATTTATTAAACCATTTAACTTCTGACTTATCTGGATCACCTATTCAATCAGAAGATATAGTATTCTGCATCCAGATCAGTAATTCCTTAGCTTGTTCTTGATTCTTCTCCATAGATTTAAATTTTCTAGGAATATCTGGCTGATCTTGATTCTTCACATAACTCATCACTCCAGCATTTATAATACGTAAAGTTTTAAGTTTAGCAGAATAAATATAAAGTATCACCATAATATCAGCAAGAGCCTGATAATCAGATAAAGTTTTAATATTATACGTATCTAATCTTTCTTTGACTGATTCTAATGTAAATTTATCTGAATAATCAATACGTTTAGCTTCAGCTTTTTTTTGATTGACACTCTGGATTTTGTTAGCATCTTCTGTAATATCTGAAAATTTTGTAATCTTAATTATCTCAAGTGATATATTAATATTTCTTAATTTTCTATAAAGATGAGTGAGATATGATGAGTCAGCATTAGTATTTTTTGCTAATAAGGCTAAGACATAAGCTTTGGCTCTTATATCTCTAATACTAAGTTTATCTCATAAAATCTGTTGCGCCATATCTCTGATAGTTTCTTCCTCTATTCTTTTTTGGGGTTTGTTGAAAATCACAATATTTAAGATTTTATCAGAAGTACTTCCACATTGTCTATTTGTCTGAATTGTGAATAAGATATTTACTTGATCATTACTAAATTCATATCTATTCTGTAAGATTCATTTTGCTTTCTCTCTGATAATCTCTTCTTTCAAACTTTTTGGAGGCTTGATTATAGCTATTCTACAATTACCTTTAACCAAATTTATAGTTTTATTTTTCCTGCTTCTCTGATTAGGTATCAATATACTTACCTACTCATTGCTAAATTTAAAATCATCCCAAAAATATCATTGAGCTTGATTCCACTTTTTATCATCAGTAAGATTTTCAAGAAATTCTGAGGTATATTTACTGAGATCAGACATATCCATCTTGGGACTAAGATTGTATTTTTCAATAATTTTAATTACAATAGCTGACATGATCTAATGTTATAGTAGGTCGAATAGTTTATAAATAATTCTTTAGGTTATATATATTATAAAAAATATCTTTTCAAATCAAAATTAATTATTATGAGTTGAAATATATACCCAAAAATTGAATAGGTGATAATTAATGTAATTCTATCAAGAAATAGACACAAATAAGGTATGAAATAGATTGAAAGTTTTAGAATCTATAGCTCTACATAGTAAAATAACTAAAAATATAAAAGATATTAAAGAAGATATAACATTACTTAGAGAGGTCCTGAGAAAAATAATTGATATATACCAGGTACATGATATACATCTGTTGATTTGAAATTTAATAATACATAGATATAATGAAAAAAATTTATAGCTTTGAGGTAGGAGTCCAGGTTATGATAATACTTAATAGTATTTTATTTTTATTTCTTAATATAATTTTCAAATGGTGATAGAGAAATCAATAGTTCTTCTTCTTCCCAATACATATATTCATCACATATCAATTTATTATATGTTAGTTCACCAATTGCAATCATGTGATTCATTTTGAGATTATAAATTTTTGGCTTTCTCTAACAATTAGCCAATTTGGATAATTGCTTAGCAGTAATTATTTCTTTAGTATATTCTGGCTCTTTAATGTATAATTTATACATTTTTTTAGTATGATATATGTAGTATCAGTATGTAAAGTTATTTTATCTTATTATAAATTTGAAATATTTAAATTGATATTTATATTTGAATTTTATACATATATTATATATTACATTCTAGAATACTTTCATAGATCATGCTATCTGCCTTCATATTGTTACCGTTTTAAGATTATGCGTATGTAATTATTTTAAAATGGTAATAGTGACTGTGTTCACAGCAATTGTTTACTTTTATAGGTCCAAGAGGATTATACGGCTGACTATCTTCTAAATAAGGTAATATGTGCAAGATTTATGACTGACGAATTATGATTATCTTCTCAATAAGATAATTTATACGTGTTTTA